GTGACTGACAGTAGTGCAGTCTCAGTTGAATGGCCACTCCTGAACCCTGACTGGTTAGAATCCAGTTGGTTGTTCTGTGTAGGAAATAATGATACCTGGTTTAAAACAACTGGTTCAAGTGTTTTTGCTATGAAAGGAAGGAGAAAGACAGGTCTGTAGCTATCTGTAAGTGAAGTGTTTAATGTAGGTTTTTTGAGCAGTGGGGTTACCCGAGCCTGCTTGAATGCAGTGGGGAAAGTGCCTGTGAGAAGAGATGTGTGTGAGTGATGGTAAAAGTGTAGGGTAGATTGCTGCCTCAGTGAGGGGACAGAAGGGGAAGGGGGAAGTTTTAGGCGTGGATGCGTTTGGTTTGAGTTTGTGTGTGGAGCTGAGAACTGACTACTGATTGTTCTAGATTTGTCTGTGAAGAATGTGGTGAAATCATCAGCTGTTATAGAAGTGGTGGGAGGTGGTGGAGGGGGACAGAGTAGAAAATTGAATGTTTTGAAGAGGTTACGTGTGTCTGTAGTGCTGTTGTTGTGAATATATGAAGATTTGGCAGTATGGACTTGAGCAGAGAAAGATGAAAGCAAAGACTGATACATACAGGTCAAACAGATCTTTTGATTTGCGCCATTTTCTCTCTGCTGCCCTGAGTTTGGACCGATGCTCACGAAGAACATTGAATAACCAAAGTTTAGAAGGGGTATCCGGTGCTGGCCTGGAGGAGAGAGGACCCATATTGCCTAAACAAGAAGTTAAAGTAAAGTGTCAGTTGCTGCACTAATGTCCAGAGATGAGAAATGGGTAGGTGAGGAAAGAGAGGAAGACACTACAGAGGAAAGATAGGAGGGTGAAAGGGAGCGCAGGTTTTGTCTAAAAGTAACAGGTAGAGGGGTTGGTGGCACACAGGTAGGATGTAGGTTAAATGTAATGAAGAAATGGTCAGAGATGTGTAGGGGCTAGGAAGGTGCCCAGTTGCCCAGGAGACCGGTAAATTACCACAACATGGAGTTGTATAGGAGCTGTTGCAGTAATCGCATGAGATTTAAATGAGTTATAATTGCATAGGGGAGAGTGGGTTGAGTATTTCCAATAGTCAGAAATGAGCAGACCAGTGCCCCCACCCCTCCCAACCTGACGAGGGGGGTGAGAGAAAGAAAAATTGTTAGACAGATCAGCTCGGGTTGCTGAGTCTTCTGGACGAATCCAGGTCAAGTCAAGCCCAAGATGTTGAGTGTAGATTGCAAAGAAAAAGCAGAAATTAAGTCAGCTTTGTTGACAGCTGACTGACAATTCCAGAGACCCACAGTAAAAGAAAGAGGTGCCGTAGAAGATGTACAGATAGGACGCTGGTTATCAAGATTGCGTTGCCGACTGTGAGTGATGTTAGAGCGTTGTTGTGAGACAACCTAAATGTATTGAAAACACATGATAGAGGTGGAAGGAAGAGGACAGAAAGGAGTGTGCAAAGGGAAAAAGAGAGTACTTAAGTGCGTTGCCCGGTTTCGTTGCTCGGTGAAGTCGCGCAGGTAAAGTCGCAGGTCTTTACACTCGTAGGTCTTTACACTCGTAGACTCGTAGGTCTTCACACTCGTAGGTCTTCACACTCGTAGGTCTTTACACTCGTGGAGGCTGAACATGAGGAGGCAGAACACGAGAGCTAAACGCTTCCGCTGACGCTTCCGCCTCAGCTGACAGACAACAAACAAATACACAGCCACCCGACACTTCAGAGAAAACAGTTGTGGCCGCCTTCTTAAATTAACACACCCAAAAGCCTATAGCAGGGTAATTGCTCAAATCGAAACTAAAGTTCGCACTTAAGTGCAGGAACGGAGCAATATAAATAACAAAAGCTCCTTTTTAGCCGACGGCTATTACAAATAAAGTGCAATCAAACATACAAATTACAATGAAAAATAGCAGTAGAAATAGCTAGAGAACGAAATAAACCTTCTTAGCAGCAGGTAACAATTTAAACAACAGATGCAGACACAAAGTATTAAGGAAACACTCACGCCTGTAAGGTGCCCTGGAGGTGACATGGTCGGTTCACTTAGTTTTGTCGTGGCCACGACATAATAATTCGTGGGAACGTGATAATATGTTGTGGCCACGAGATATTAATTCATGGGAAAGTCATATTAACTTGTGGGAACGTGATATTATGTCGTGACCACGAGATAATTTTGTCAAGGTAACGACATCCTTATGTCGTGGCCTCGAGATGCTATGTTGAGGGAACTGCATTCATTTCTCATGGCCACGACTTCTTATGTTGAGGGAACGACATATTTTTCTCGTGGCCACGAGTTTAATATGTAAACAAATCTGCGTGACCATAGCAACCCGGGATTTTCAAAAATGGATAAAACATTTTTATTAACATTAAACATTTAATTTAATATTTGTATATTATTATTATTATTATTATTATTATTAGATTAACTTATTAGGGCTATATTTTTATATATATTGTTATATATGCTTATTTACCCTTTCAATTTGTGTATTGCTTTACCTAGTTAACGTTTTGTATAATTATGCTAGCATTTGCTAGCCTACCATATATTTTGCAAATAAATGCCTGACAATTATGCCAATAAAGTTTTGACTTTATGATTGTATTTATGCCCATGTGTGATGATAAATGAGTGTGTTGTGTTTTCATTTACAAATGAAACTACATGAATGATTAATTCCTCAACGAAACAATATAGTATTTATAATTATGGTCTATTAATTAGCCAAAATAAAATG